AGCCTATAGTCACAGCCTGTAGTTTCTTTTTTTAACTCCTTGTGTTTCCTATTTAACTAAAGCAGTGTAAACCATTCTTTGTACAGCAATATACAGATTCTTTTCAATCTTGAAATCGCCTATTTGGTATCAGAGCATCTTACCGATTCTTCTGGAAAAAAAAACCCCTAGCCGTCTCTTTTTTTTTTCTCTCCTCCAAACAACCCTAATCACCATGTCTGATGACGTACCTGAGTCCAAGACCAAGACCTTTGAGTCCCAAGTCCAAAACTCTCAGCCACACTCGGTCCAGATTACCACAATTCGGCTAAACGGTGAAAACTTCCTTCGCTGGTCCCAGTCCGTGCGGATGTACATCCGAGGCAGAGGCAAAATCGGCTACCTAACAGGAGAAAAGAAGGAACCGAAACCTGAAGATCCATCCTACTCGACCTGGGATGCAGAGAATTCGATGGTGATGACCTGGTTGGTGAATTCTATGGAGGAGGACATCAGTTCTAATTATACGTGTTACCACACAGCAAAAGAACTCTGGGACAATGTCAACCTAATGTATTCAGCCCTGGGAAATCAGTCTCAAGTCTATGAACTAACGCTGAAACTCGGAGAGATCTGTCAAGGAGATAACCATGTTACAAAATATTTCAACTCTCTAAAACGTTTGTGGCAGGACCTTGATTTGTTCAGCGATTATGAGTGGAAATCGCCTGAAGATTGCAACCATTACAAAAAGAAGGTGGAAGACAACTGCATCTTCAAGTTTCTCATTGGACTCAATTTCGAGTTTGATGAAGTGAGAGGCAGAATAATTGGACGACAACCCCTGCCTTTAATCGGTGAAGTCTTCTTCGAGGTTCGAAGAGAGGAAAGTCGCAGGCTGGTCATGCTTGGAAAAAAGTTATCAAATGGTGCTGTTGAGACCTCTGCCCTGGTCGCATCTGAAGCGAATATTGGCAGGAAACATAATGAAAAGCCCCGTCTTTGGTGTGACCACTGCAACAAGCCTCACCATACCCGTGGAACCTGCTAGAAAATTCATGGTAAACCAGCGAATTGGAAGAGTAAGTAGGAAGGCAGATTCAACCGAGCACCATCAGCTCATGAAGCCAAGGCACTTCCCTTTAGCAAAGAACAGATGGATCATCTTCTAAAATTGCTGAAATTCAATTCCTCATCTGATACTCCTAATGCTTCTCTTGCTCAAACAGGTAACAACCCGAAGGCCTTATATTGTCGTTCAAATTCCAGTGTTACCCCATGGATCATTAATTCAGGGGCTTCTGACCATATGACAAGTTTTTCTCATTTATTTCAAACTTATTCACCCTATTCTGGCTCTGAAAAAATCAGAATAGCCGATGGTTCTTATTCTCCTATTGCAGGCAAAGGTTTGGTAAAACTTTGAAAAATTATTGATCTTAAGTCTGTCCTTCATGTCCCTAAGCTTGCTTGTAACCTTTTATCAGTTAGTAAATTGTCCAAAGACTCTAATTGTCGTGTTATCTTTTTTGAATCCAATTGTGAATTTCGGGACCAGAGCTCGGGGAAGACGATTGGCAGTGCTGAGATGATAGATGATCTCTCCTAGGTTGAAGATGATATTTCAAGTAATAAAAAGGCTCAAGGTTTGAGTAGTTTTCGTTCTATCCCTGTTAGAGAACAAATAATGCTATGGCATTTTAGACTAGGGCATCTTAGTTTCCCTTATCTTAAAAAATTATTTCCTACTTTGTTTAAAGGATTGGATTGTTCATCTTTTTATTGAGAATTGTTTTTTATCAAAGAGTCATCGTACTACGTATTCTCCCAAACCTTACCAAACATCAAAACCATTTTATTTAATCCATAGCGATGTTTGGGGCCCTTCTAGGATCACAACTCTTTCTGGAAAAAAATGGTTTGTGACTTTTATTGATGATCATATACGTTTGTGTTGGGTGTATTTAATAAATGAAAAATCTGAGGTTGAAAAATTATTCAAGGATTTTTATATGATAATTGAAAATCAATTTCAAACAAAAATTGGCATTCTTCATACTGATAACGGCACCGAATACTTTAATGAAGTTTTAGGAAGTTTTTTAACGGAAAAAGAATTTTTCACCAATCCACTTGTGTTGACACGCCCCAACAAAATGGAATTGCTGAAAGAAAGAATGAACATTTATTTGAAGTTTCTTGTGCCATCATGTTTTCAATGATTGTTCCTAAGTATGTGTGGGGTGAAGCCGTTTTAACAACAACATATTTGATTAACAGGATGCCTACTCGTGTTCTTAACTATTTTACACCCCTTGAAAGCCTTAAAAAATCTTTTCCTGAAACTCGGATTTATTCCAAACTGCCTTTGAAAGTATTTGGGTGCACTGTCTTTGTTCATTTACCTAGTAGACTTCGGTCAAAATTGGATCCTCGGGCTGAAAATTGTGTATTTGTTGGGTATGCCCTGAATAAAAAGGGGTACAAATGCTTTAATCCGAAAACCAAAAAAAAATGTTTATCAGTATGGATGCCTTTTTTCTAAAAAATCATCCTTATTTTCAGAAAACTTTTCTTCAGGGGGAGAAAGAGAGTGAAGAAATTTTTTGGGAGATTTCTACTAATATTCCCTTACCTAAAACTATTGTCTCACACTCTATTACTCTGAACACTGATCTTTTTAAACAGGGAAATGATGTTTTAGAATCAGGAAACCCGGGGCCTCCTAGTCCTAATCTGCCGAGCCTTACTGTATCTCCAACAGGGGGAGAAATCCTATCAACAGTTCCAAAAAAACCGAATCCTGAGCTTCTGGTTTATAACAGGAAAAAGACTCATCAAAAGAGTAGAGAGCCTACTATTGTACCTGAGCAAGGCCAATCAGAGGTCCCGAGCAATGACTCCCCGAACACTTAAGGTACTCTAAATCCTAACTTGTCTACAGTTGTCCCTACTATTTCTGATTGTACAGAGTCACCTAGCCAAGTTCCTGTAGACCTTGATATCCCTATAGCTGTTAGAAAAGGAATCCGAACCTGTACCCAGTATCCCATTGCCAAATACTTGTCTTATGATAAACTTTCCCATAAACATAGGGCCTTTACTTCAAATATTTCTCACTTGTTTGTTCCAAGAAACATTCAGGAAGCACTAGATAATCCGAATTGGAAATCAGCAGTGTTAGAGGAGATGAATGCTTTTAAAAGGAGTGGAACGTGGGAGATAGTTGACTTGCCCAAAGGAAAGAAAAATGTTGGGTGTAAATGGGTTTTCACTATTAAGTGTAAAGCCGATGGTAGTGTGGAAAGGTACAAGGCAAGACTTGTGGCGAAAGGTTTTACGCAAACGTACGGCATTGATTACCAAGACACGTTTGCTCCTATAGCAAAAATAAATTCTATCCGAGTCTTATTGTCGTTGGTAGTCAATTCTAACTGGCCATTACATCAGTTGGACATAAAAAAAATGCCTAAATGGAGACTTGGAAGAAGAAGTGTTCATGAGCTTGCCACTTAGAGTGGTTTGAACACTTTGGAAAGGCTGTGAAGAGTCATGGGTATCATCAGAGCCAGGCAGACCATACCATGTTCTACAAACACGGTGAGGAAGGGAATATTGCCGTTTTAATTGTGTATGTGGATGATATAATTTTGACAGGTGATGACATTGAAGAGTTGACCAGACTGAAGAAGAAACTTGCTAAAGATTTTAAAGTCAAAGATCTGGGAGCATTAAAATACTTCCTTGGAATGGAATTTGCCAGGTCAAGAGAAGGAATTTTCGTGAATCAACGAAAATATGTACTTGATTTGCTTAATAAGACAGGACTACTCAGGTGTAAAGCTTCTGACACTCCAATTGAAGTCAACCTGAAGTTAGAAGCTGCCGAACCCGAGAATATGGTTGATCGTGAAAGATATCAAAGATAGGTGGGAAGACTAATTTACTTATTTCACACACGCCCAGATATAGCATTTGCAGTCAGTATGGTGAGTCAGTTCATGCACTCTCCTAGACAGGAACACTTTGAAGCAGTGTACAGGATTCTGAGGTACTTAAAGGGCTCACCAGGTAAAGGACTTATGTTCAAGAAACAAGGTCATTTGCAAGTGGAGGTGTACACAGATGCTGATTGGGCAGGCAGTATAGTATAATTGATAGACAATCTACCTCAGGATATTGCACCTTCGTTGGAGGAAACTTAGTCACGTGGCGAAGCAAGAAACAAAATGTAGTAGCGACGAGTAGTGCAGAAGCCGAGTTCAGAGCACTCGCCCATGGGATTTGCCAAGCTATGTGGTTAAAAAGACTCCTTGAAGATTTTAAGGTTACTGTTTCTCTCTAATGAGAGTCTACTGTGACAACAAGGCTGCCATTTCAATTGCTCATAATCCAGTCCTCCACTACAGAACCAAACATGTGGAAGTTGACAAACACTTTATCAAGGAAAAGCTTGACTGTGGTATGATTTGCATTCCTTATGTCTCTACTACTGAACAAGCTGCAAACATCCTTACCAAAGGACTACACAAGAGACAGTTTGAAGTTTTAAGAAGCAAGCTAGCTATGGAAGACATCTACAAGCCAGCTTGAGGGGGAGTGTTGAAAAAAGAGATATTCGGTTTTAATAAGACCAGATTTTAGGGGATATGATAGGAGCGTAAATATAGATAGTCAATGACTAAGATTAGGAAATTATGTTAGTGTACAACCTGTAGTTTCTTTTTTTAACTCCTTGTATTTCCTATTTAACTAAAGCATTTTAAACCATTCTTCGTACGGCAATATACAGATTCTTTTCAATCTTGAAATTGCCTATTTTATATAAATAAACGGGCACGTTTTCAGATAAGTAAAGGATCATTATGGATATGAAAACTAAGGAAAGAATGGCAGTAATAAATTTGTTTTTCCCTATTGAGCAGCATAACACAATAGAGTTCAAATGCCAAATATGAACATATTACATCAAATGCATATCAGGAAAAAAAAAGTTTTAATCATAACTGTTAATTGACTACCTGTAGGAAGCTGCACTTTTCCTTGGAGGTATCTGCAGAAAAAATAGAAAATAAAATATTGTTGAAATCATCATAACTTCTAAGCCATCCATAAAAAAGAATAAATAAAAAGTAAAAATAATTCTCTAAATGTCAAATAAATCTGGAAACTTTATTTAACACTAAGCTTGGCTTCCTCCATAAAGTTTTAATTTGGCTTATATGCTATAAATCACGCAAGTGAAAATTTTGTACATGCACCAAACTCATAGTGGAAATATGCCAACCTTATAACTGATATGCAAACAACAATGTACAATAATCCAGTGCTGTTCCTGCCTATGCAGGGTGCTGCTAGGGAAAGGCTAGAGAAAGACCTAACCTTTGGCATAAATTAACACAAAGTGCCTGCTCTCATACTCAACAAGCATCCTCAGACTTGTCAAAGAAAAACTAGCAGTATATATCAAAATCACATCCACTGAAAACAGGCAAATGCAGTTGAGAAAGGAAAAGCCTAATGAAATTCTTAATTCAGCAGCCTGAACTTTAATCAAGTATATGATAAAGACTACTAGACACACAGCATTTCAATTTTTGACAGTTCACCAGAATTATAGAGTATCAACAATCATCAACCAGTCACTTGTGCATAAATAGACAATAGATTGACATGGAAAGGCAGAAGTGTGAGATACATGCTATAAAGCAACCAAACAAACCATGAATTAAAAATGTCAGAAATAAACACCCTAAACCATGGATCTTCCTTTCAAATAAAGAAATTCAAATCTGACACTCATGGTCCAAATTATCAATAAAAAATTTGGATATATTAAATTAGAAAAAACATCATATAGAGAACCATTTTGATAGATATACTATATCAAACTTGTCCTGTGAAACGTTTCCAATCAAAATGAAATGGGAAGAAACATGCCTCATTGTTTTTCAGTCCTTGGCACAATCTGAGATTTTGTTATATGAGATGATAGGAAGTTTCATTTATCGAAGCATCAAATAGTTGCAAGATACTATAACTAAAGAATTCCTTTTTTCTTAAGGTATTAAACCCGATTTACCGATCTAACCATTAAGAGAATCTGTTGCCGAAGCCTCTATCGTATCTCTTATCTGGCCTACGTCATTTCTGGTTTTATTAGTTAGGGCAAGCAACTTTCATCTTCGCCCAAGTAGTACCTCCTCCTTCCAAATGGAAGGTTGAGGGTTCGAGTCCTCAATGGAACACAATAATGTGTGAGTGTAATATTCCTACCAAAAAAATTTAATTAAGTTATTAGATTCAATGGTAGGGCCAAAAATTAACTTTCAATTTGAAAGAATAATACAGTTTACTCAACTCTAACATTCATGTTTATTCTAAATTTCTAATGACTTTTATAATTTGTGTTCATCACCATTAATACCTCAAAGAGGATTCAAGTGTAAAAGTTAAAGGGCCTGTGAACAAAAAATTTATCTTTCTACAATTTTGCTCATATAAATGCAACCAAATAAAACCTTTTCCGAACTATTTATTAGTATTAGAATTATAATTATTGATCCACTTAATCATTTTAGTAAAAGTTAAAGGGCCTGTGAACAAGAAGTTTATCTTTCTACAATTTTACTCATATAAATACAACTAAATAAAACCGTTTCCGAACTATTTATTAGTATTAGTATTAGTATTATAATTATTAATCCACTTAATCATTTTATTTTTAATATTTTTTTAATCCATTCTGAAAGTCCATAGATTCTTGAATTCACCTAGACCTTTAACCATGATACAGAATCATGTACATGAAATTGAAATCTTCGTATCTCGACACTGTTCATTGAGCTTATATCATGAATATAGAAGAGACCGAACTTCACTGGAATCTAAAAAAAAAAAAATGACTTCCTTTGTATCCTTAGCAGATTATTTTTAGCAACAATTACAAAAGTTGACAGCAAATGAACAGAACATCAAAAGGCTGTAAACATTGCACATAAAATTAAGAAAAACATGGGGAAAAATATAGTGCAATAACTTCCAATGTAACACTGGAGTGACAGAGAAATTTGAAAGATGAACAATACATCTATTTCAATTTGATCCAATCTAGATTTACTACCACTATCTTGTCTCGAATTAGATGTACCCAAATGAATGTGCAAGAATCAAAATAAGTTTATGAATTGGGAATGAAACATTGGTTCCCAAAACTACATCAATGAAATTGCAACACAGATACACCCAAAAGCACATTCAATAACATAGTTATACACATGAAGAGATTCGAAAATCAGAGAACGGATAGACATAGAATTACCAAGTAAACGTAACATTCAGGGACTTGAAAGAGAACAAGCTCTACTGGTTCTGCGTCTTCGTTCTCATCTACGGCACCCTGGTTTTCTTGCTCGCTGGAATCCTTCTGTTCCTTCTCCATGATCTTGGGGGGGGGGGGGGGGAGTTTAGAGAGAGAGAGTGAATTGAGATCGGGGTGACAAGAAACAGAGTAATCGATTTGTGACTGGAGACCTCTCTGAGAAGTGCGTGAGCGAAATTTGGGACTCTGGGACTGTAATTTCTTAGGTTGGTAATTGGAATGGAAAATTATGTATAGGGTTAAAATCATAAAAACCCTCGTGTTTTTAACAACTATCAACTAATCCTTTCAACTAAAGAAATTATTATATTAGTCCTTGATGATTTAAAAAGGCTATTATATCACTCATTTCAGTTGGTTTTCACTCTAAAATTAATATGATTGTATTGCATGCAACTGTTGCATTATTTTGTTGACCAAAATAATAATATAATTCGTAACGATGAAATTACCCCATCTCATGCGTTGGTTTTCAATTTAAAATTAATATAATTATATCACGTGTAACAGTTGCATTATTTTGTTGACCAAAATAACATTATAATTCGTAATGATGAAATTACCTCGTCTCACGCTATAATTTTAGTTTAATAAAATATTAATATACCATCGAAGGCATTATTGTCATTTCACAATAACTTAACGGTTCCGTCCCATAAATGGAACAACGTAGTAATTTTTGCTAGTTCAAGGAGATTATTTGATAATTAAGGGAGTTATATAACGTTTTTTAAAATAAGAAGGGGGTTTTATGATTTTAGCCCTTATGAATATACTAGTATAATTTACATTCACCTCCTATAAGGTATAGTATAATTAAGCGAATCTCTATAAATTTAGATATTACACTACTTTCTCTTCATATTAATATTTATAACTAGAGATATCATTTTAATAGGATTAGGAGTGGATTTGAGAAGAAAGTTTAAAATTCGTGAATTCCCATCCCTACCCCGATGAATAATTAATATATAAATAAATATTTTTATATTTACTTATATTTTTTTTATTTCTTATGATAATTTTAAATTTTAGTAACATTTATATTATTATGATCGTTAAATATTTAACTATATTAAAAGAAAATTATAAAAATTATCTTAAATTTGTTCAAGTTTGAATTTATTTATTTATTTTTTTTCAAATATGTATATCGAGGCGGTCCGAACACGCCCGGGCTTTGATGCAAGGCGCGACCAAACGGGGTTTGGGAAAAAAAATTTATTGGTCGTACTATTTTGATAAAGGGGTGCCCTGAACCTGCCCTATTGACATCCCTACTTGTAACGGTTTAAATTGAACATGTTATTGGTAGGACTTTGAGGATTTTGCGGGCGGAATTTTGTTTCTAAGGGGCAAATTGAACATTATAAATATTTTTTTTCCTTTCAACATATATGACAAATATATAGGAACTTATTTTTTTTCCTTTCAACATATATGACAAATATATAGGAACTTAAATTACAATACAAAGAATCAACATTAGGTTTGTGCGTCACATACGCCATTTTTCAGCCAAATTTCATCATTTGAGTATTTTTTTTTGTGTTTTTCAATGAAAGCAACCAAATTTTTTAGATTTTTTTTAATTTTTTTTAGTAATCGAGTTAGACATAGATTTATATATATTTTTCCTAATTATCTTATTTTAGTAATTAGGTTCTTATTATTATTTTTTTTTCTTAATTCTTAAAGATAGTGCCATATGGGGTTGTTTTTAATGATGTATGCAACCTAACACACCCTAAACATATATTAGGGGGCAATTAGCATATATCATTAAATGAAGGGAATTTAGATGCACGTACTAAAAAATGTGTTTTTTTACACATTTATTTTATATAGCAGAATTTTATTTTGCACTTTACTCTATTAGTGTTTTTTTATTATTATTATTCTTGTATCCCCTATTTCAATATATATATATATATATATATATATATATATATATATTTTGGTGCATCTCATGTACTACTCTACATTTTAAAGCTGGCACGATCGTCTATGGTCCATTGATTAAATTTCTCTCGTTATCACAGCTGTTTATAAGGTTCACTTGTACTGCAGAGGGGGACTGAATTGACCATTCTGATCGTGCTTATCCATGAAGGACAAAACGTGTAGGTGATGGGTTGGTGGAGTTGTTCACTTGATTTTGAAGGAAGATGCCTTAGTTTTGTAGAGACCATACATGGGGCTGTTGGGTTTATTTCCTTCTATATGAAGGAAAGTTCAAGTGGATTTTATTAAAGCTCAAAACTCAGCTTTAGGGTAAATAACCCTAAGGAAGTCAGAATAAAAAGAGAGAGAGATCAGCCCTAGCTTTTTTTTCTATTCTGCCCAGATTTCATCAAACATCCGATCCTGCTTCGTCCGTGGTCCAATCGAGCTGAAATTTGGAGGAGAGGTTCATGACTCAATGAGTTAAAATCTGAACGGTAGAGATCGGATTTTAAGCTTAGGAACAGTGAATCGTACCCATGAACAGTAACCGGGTTTTGGTTTTTTTCTGTTCTGCCCAGATTTCATCAAACACCCGATCCCGCTTCGTCCGTGGTCCGATCAAGCTGAAATTTGGAAGAGAGGTTCACGACTCAATGAGTTAAAATCTGAATGATGGAGATCAGATTTTGAGCTCAGGAACAGTGATTCGTGCCCGTGAACAGTACTCGGGTTTTGGTATTTTTCTCTCCAATTCTCTTTGGTTTTTGCCAAGATTGTTGCTATCTTGATGAGATGTTTTGTAGCCTCTAATTGCGATTAGAGAAAACTTTGTGTACCCATTATTTGGTTGATAGTGGAGTTTTTAACTGTACTAGGTCCCGTGGTTTTTCTTCCTCACACTGGGGAAGTTTTCCACATAAAAAATTGCTTGTGTTCTTGTGGCTTTGTGTGATTGATTTTCTTTTCTATTATTTTCAGCACATATAAAAGTAGAGATATACTATATTTACTTGCTTATAGGAAGAAGAATTATTCCGCTGTATTTGTTTATTGTCATCTCTCCCAACAAAGTGGTATCAGAGCCAGGTTGACAGATTGTCAGGTTGGCAGTTTGAGTTATAGAAACAAATACGAGTAGAATGATTAATCTTAATTGTTCAAATTATCACATATGGAAAGGAAAAATGGAGGATCTTCTTTATGTGAAAGATTATTACCTACCGGTGTTTAGTGCTGAAAAATCAGAAAACAAGACTGTTGTGGAATGGACTTTGTTACATCGACAGGTGTGTGGGTATATGAGGCAGTGGGTAGATGATAATGTTTTGAACCATATTAGTGGAGAGATAAATGCACGTTCTCTATGAAGTAAGCTTGAACAGCTATATGCTAGAAAGACTGGAAATAATAAATTGTTTTTGATTAAGCAAATGATGGCTTTGTTTATCTGATCACTTGAATACATTCCAAGGAATTATTAATCAGCTGGTTGGAATGGGTATTAAGTTTGATGATGAGATACAAGGGTTATGGTTGCTTGGTTCATTACCAGACTCGTGGGAGACGCTCAGAATTTCATTGTCTAACTCCGCTCCAGAAGGTGTAATCACAATGGATATGGCTAAGAGTTGTTTGCTAAATGAAGAGATGAGAAGAAAAACACAGGGATCCTCTTCACAGTCAAAAATCTTGGTTACAGAAAAGAGGGGGAGAAGTAAGAGCAGAGGTCCAAAGAACAGAGATAACAGCAGAAGCAAGTTCAACAAGTTTGCAAATGTTGAGTGTCATTATTGCGGGAAAAAGGGACACATCAAGAAATATTGCAGGCAATTGAAGAAAGAAAACAAGAATGAGAAAGGGAAAGGAACTAAGAATGGAGATGACAAAGATGGTGATGATAGAGTTGCTACCACCACTCCTGTAGACTTCCTCATTGTTTATGATGATGAGACGATAAATGTTGCATACCATGAGACCAGTTGGGTGATTGATAGTGGTGCCTCAATTCATGCTACATCTTAGAAGGATTTCTTTACATCTTATAAATCTGGTGATTTTGGAATAGTAAAGATGGGCAACGATGGCTTGGTTAAAGCCATTAGAATCGGGGATGTGTATCTGAAGACGAATAATGGCACGAAGTTAGTTCTCAGATATGTGAAACATGTTCCTGACATTCGTTTGAATTTGATTTCTGCAGGTAAACTTGATGATGAAGGGTATTGCAGCACTTTCAGTGATGGTCAGTGTAAGCTCACTAGGGGTGCTATGGTTGTGGCTCGAGCCATAAAGCACTCTGCACTGTACGGTCTACAAGCAAAGATCTCCAACGACATTGTTAATGCGATGGAGGATAATGATATAGCAGAGTTGTGGCACAAGAGACTGGCTCACATGAGTGAGAAAGGATTAGCTCTACTAGGAAAGAAAAGTTCACTATGTGGACTGAAAAGTACACTTCTGAAAAGGTGTACTCATTGTTTGTCAGGGAAGTAGAGCAGAGTCTCCTTTAAGAATTCCCCTCATTCGAGAAAGTCAGAGATACTGGATTTGGTACATTCAGATGTGTGTGGCCCTATGAAGATGAGAACACTTGGTGGCTCCAGATACTTTGTGACCTTCATAGATGATCATTCAAGGAAGTTGTGGGTATATACCTTGAATTCAAAAGACCAAGTGTTAGCAGTGTTCAAGCAATTGCAAGCCCTAGTTGAGAGACAGACTGAGAAGAAACTGAGATGCATTCGTACTGATAACAGTGGAGAGTATTCTGGTCCTTTTGATGAGTATTGTAGACAGTAGGGTATCCGGCATCAAAAGACAACTCCGAAAACTCCTCAGTTGAATGGCGTAGCAGAAAGGATAAACAGGACACTGGTTGAGAGAGTGAGATGTTTGCTTTCACAAGCCCAATTGCCAAAATCCTTTTGGGGGGAAGCATTGAGCACAGTTATTCATGTGTTGAATCTTACACCCTGTGTTCCTCTACAGTTTGATGTGCCAGACCAAGTTTGGACAGGTAAGGATGTCTCTTATAATCATCTGCGTGTTTTTGGGTGCAAAGCATTTGTGCATATTCCAAAAGATGAAAGGTCCAAACTTGATATGAAAACGCGACAGTGTATATTCCTTAGCTATGGCTAAGATGAGTTTGGATATAAGCTTTATGATCCAGTTGAGAAGAAATTTGTGAGAAGCAGAGATGTCGTGTTTG